ATTAAGATTAAAAATTAAATTACCATAATTGTTCTATGTTCCGTGATATATTTAATTAATGCAGCAATATCCAAACCATTTGGATCATACACCGAATAGTTATATTCTTGAACACCAATAATTATTCCACCTCCATTTGATATGAAATTTGATGTAAACGTACCAACATTACCAAAACCCTTCAAATTACAAAAATTTTTTTTTTTAATTTTAACTACAAATTTTAAAAAATACAAAACGTGTTTTTTTTTAAACTCTTAGTTTAATCTTGTATTTATTTTTTTACTTTTTTGCTTTAATCGTCGTTGTTTTTTTTTTTTACTCAACAGAAAAAAAAAATGCAAAATTCATTTTTAAATACCTGAACAATAACTTTTTTTCCTTTTAATCCCGGTTCTAAACCAATTTTTCTCATATACTCGGAAATATTTAAAAATGTTTCCAAACCATTCCATACACCACGTCCGGTTGCTGCTGCACGACCATGAATTCCTGGAGCATTATAAGATTTCCGGTTAATAACAACAACGATTACATGCTAATAAATGCAAAATCAATTTTTCTTTTTTCTTCATTTCAACATAACTTTTCATCAAAAATAAAAAAAAATTTTATTTATTTATTTATTTTTTGTCAAATTGATGATTTTTTTTTTTCGTTCTTGAAAAGATAAGAAACAAAAAAAAAATACAGATACCTCCAACAACGATTGGTTTACCGGTAACACAAGCATATGCATCCTTATCAGTATATCCAACTGTTTGCGCATATGTATCCGCAATCCAACTCATTTCTCGTTCACTGGTACCCATATCTGGTGCAGGAACATCCACTCCCGGACCCAAAAATCCCTTCTTAGCAAATTCCACAGTCATACGACGTGTGATTTTTTCAATTTCATATTCCGAATATTTGCTTGGATCAATTTTTACACCACCTTTTGCGCCACCAAATGGTATATTTGCCACAGCACATTTATATGTCATCAAAGCGGAAAGTGCTTTCACCTTTGCAAAAAAAAAGAAAAAAGAAAAGAATTCTTGTCTGTTTTTTTTTTTTTT